ATATATATATATTATTTCATTTCCATTTTGTGTTGAAGTACTGAAATAACTCAAATTAAATAAAACTAAAACTTAATAAAAAACCTATATAGACATAATAAAAAACGAATAAAATGACAACATTAATACAACTGTAACTAAAGCTAAAATAGATAACTAATACAAATCAAACTACATTAGTTTATCAGTAATCCTAAAAAACCAACACTGAGCCAAACACACATGCTAAAATAGCAACAACTTACTGACACACAGTAAGAAATGGTTATAAAAAACTGAAACAGAAGCGAAACAAGTAATAGGAAAGAGGAGAAATAAAAATCGATACTTATGTCCCTTGCCGGTGTCCTGCCCGCTGGAGTCGCACGGTAGAGTCGATGGTCTTTACGCGGTAAACTAAGCTTTTTTTTTATTCGTCTAACAAAATTCTAATTGAATTCAGCTGGACACACTTTCCTGTTTATCACAACAAATGGCCAAGCAAAGCGCACGACACTGACAAGCTACGCGATACAGTACGAGACCAAACGCGATTTCAGCACGTCTAAACAAAACAAGCGTTTCCTAGCAACGACAACTGCGCTAAACACGGAGACAAGAAATAAATACACTCACGAGCCGCTTTAAAATTCTGCTTCTCACAAAGAGTATTTCTTTACACTGTTTTATGTTTTATGCCAGAAATTTTAAAAGAATTAAAAATGAAATTAAATTAAGAATTAAAAATTATTTTTAATTCAAATTAAAAAGAAATTTTAATTTTATGCCAGATATGTTCACTGGAGTCTCCAAGTGGCATTTAACATGCTTGTACGTGGCTTTTTTAATAAATATATGAGACTTGCGCTTGTAAAAAGACTCTTGTATGGGTCAAATAGTTGTCTTAAAGGTACTAAAAATGTTGATGATTAGTTTAATTGTAGCAGTAAATCAATGGGAAGCCAGCATGATGATGGAGAGATATAATGACATTGCCCTTTGGCTACTGAACCATTTTCTTCTCTATTTCCGCAGTTTGTTATCCAGTCCTCTGAATGAGCAGGTGTTTGAGACGAAACACGGAGGAGAAATGAGTATCCAGGCTCAAAGGTAATGGCATGAAGCCTCTGGCCCGGGGAAACTGAACTTGCCCGTGCAAGGATGCATACGCTTCATTTGGGCTCTGAGAGCGGCTGTCAATCTCAGGTTACAGGATATGATTAAAGCCAGCCGAGATCCTCCTATACTTCCCATCTTTCCACACATCCACAGCGGGACGCTCGCCAGATCCTCCTCTTTCCTCCTAAAAGCTGCTTTCAGTTCGGTTAGGAGTCATAATTTAAGGTTTTCTGGTCTGCTGCACATTAAAGCCTTGTAATTTACCACAAGTATTTTTCTCATCACTGCAAAAACATCTTAATAATTTCTTAATTTTGTATTATTTTCCCACTAAAATGATGTAAACATCCTTTTTGCGGTATTTAAGTGTAATTTAGGTTGAATTCAAGTGGATGGATGACACATGCACGACAATTAAAAGCGTTTTGATGCAACCACAGCTGAAAAACAAACAAACAAAAAACGAATTGTTTTCTTAATTTTGTCTTGTTTCCCATTAAAATCATGTTAGCATAGCTTCAAAAATAAATAATTAATTAAAAAAATAAATTATATTTATTGAGAAGCAAAATTGTATAGAATAAAACTTAAATGAAGTGTGTTTGTCTTAAGCAAGAAAAAACAATATGCAAATGGTGTAATAAAAATAAACGTAAAACACATTTCTGATTAGATGTATTTGTTTTAAGGGTGTTTGGATATCTTACCTTAAAAACAAGACAAAGACACTCTTTTCCCTGAGTTTAAGTGTCATTTAAGTTGAATTAAAATGGATTTATGACATGCATGACATATTTAAACCCAACAGCGATTGACAGGAGCATTTTAATCACATGCATCTGCCAAAAAAAAACAAAAAAACTTAATAATATTCCTAATTTGATCACATTTTCCCATTAAAATCTTGAAAACATGCATAAAAATATAAATGATATATTAAGAAACATTTATTTTAAATGTCTTGACAAGCAACATTGTGTACAATAAGACTTAAATGAAGTGTATTTGTCTTAGATCTGTACTTAAAACAAGAAAAAACAATATGCAGTAGGATAATAAAAATAAACAACAATAACATTTTGAATAATTTTGGTTAAATGTATATTGTTTTAAGGATGTTTGGATATTTTAACTTAAAAACAATAAATTTTTTATGTTTAAGTGCCATTTAGGTGGAATTAAAGTGGATGATGTGTGCATGACATAATTAAACCCGACAGTGATTGACAGGAGCGTTTTGATGGCATGCATGCGCAGCTGAAGAGCTCCAGTGCAGCGCTGCACTCGGATTCAACACCTACAGCATTTCAGCTGAAGTTTCCCTCCCCAAACAAGCTTATGAAATCGGCCAACTCGAGTTTCAGCTGTCGCAGCGCTGGGAATCAAAGATGAATGGGAATATGAAATGCAGCACAGTGGGCCTTTAGTGTGCGCATGTATTTACTCATGTAATTATTAATATGGGGCTGGGAGTAAATAAACTAAAGTCAGTGTGATGCAGTACAAGTTAATCTTCACAGTCAAAGGCATCTGTGAGCGTCAGAACTTGCTGGTTCATACTGGAGGGTAGTTTCGTGTGTTTTCATAGTTTGCAGCAGGTTGTGGTGTGGGTTTCAACTTAACTAAACAGCTAGTAATCATCATATGGGTTGGTCAGTGGCTGATATCTAGCTATATAAAGCAGGGCAGCAGATAGTCAATAAAAAACTGATATATATGCAATACAAAAAAAAACAAACATACTTTCTTATTGCACATTGTTTGTATTGAGAACTATTAATTTGTGAACATTATTCCAAAGAATTAAAGAATGTCATTTTTAATGAAATTACAGAGATTCAAAGATGTGCATTTTTTCCTTACTGTCTTCAGTCACCAAACATGTCAGGGTTATTATAGTTAACTAAAACTAAAACTATAAAAAAAAACATTTTCGTTACTTGAAATAAACTTTAACTGAAATACAATAAAATATAAAAAAAGAACTAACTAGTCGTTTCATGTATTTAACTTATACTAAAATAAACATGAATAAATATTAATAAAAACTAACATGAAATAAACAATAAAAACTATATAGACATATAAAAAAATATAAAAATGACAAAAATTACTATAGAACTAAAATTAAATTGATTAATTACAACTTAAATAAAAAAATAATAAAAACTATATATACATTTAAAAAAACAAAAACTAATAAAAATGACAAAATCAACAGAATTATAAAACTAAAATTAAAATGAAAACAAAAAATAAATAAATAAAAACTAATTCAAAATATTAAGAAAACCTATAATACTATCTGAAGTATACTATTGTTATTTATTCATTCATTCATTTTTTACATTTAATTATTTTTCTTTCTTTTTTTTTTATCTCCTTGGAAATCAGCCAGCTGGCTAATCCTGGCACATTTATAGAAATGTTATTTAATGTTCATTGTCCTTATAAACAAACAAACAAACATGTCCACTGGTTTCAATTTTTGCAAATTATAGGTTTTCTTATGAACTTATGTGTGCATTGCAGCCCACATCACAACACATATGCAATTTGCCCGCATGGACCGAACATGCAACTGTTGTGTGTGTGTGTTTATGAATCTCTTCCATTCGTGTATACTGAGATAACATGTACTTGATTCTGTGGAGATGTCCTCTACGTGTTCACCTTCCTTTGACATGCAGCTGTCTGGAGATTTCATAAAGCAAAGCCGACAGCTGCCGAAAGACAGTCGCACATCAAAACATTCCTAACGCAATCTAATTCCCTGCGTCTGACACTTACGTGATGTGTAAAATTTGTGTAAAACAGAGAATGTGTGAGATCAGCATTGTAAGTTTGCTTACTTTTTCCTGTTGTTCTCTATTGCAGTTACACAAACAACAACACAACGTCCTTCCGTCCAGCCTCAGTTGTTGCCCAGATGTCCAGTGACTCTTTCAGAACAACAGTAGCTCCAATAAACTGCAGCCTCAGGTTCAAAACCACTGGAAACACTCTACAAAACATTCACCATACATTTTAATAGTTTGGTTTAGTGAAGTTTATTGTCATTCCAGCAATACTGTATGCATGTATACAGTGGAACGAAATGTTGTTTCACCAGGTCAATTTGACCCAAACTGGATAGTCAAACTGCTCAAAGAAATTAAATAAATAAAAAATCTTGACCCTCTAACACTAGCGTTCTCTATTCTTTTTCTATTTCTGCTTGTTTTCTTTTGAATTATTGTAAAAAAAAAAACACTAGCTCTGTCTATTCTATTTCTTTTCTATCTACTTTTTATTCTGTTTATTTATTTAAAATAAATAAATAAATATGTGTACTGCATTAGACTAACCGGGACTTGTCACAACATTTATATATTGTTGCTCTTTTGTTGTTTTGATTGCTTCTATTGCCATAATTTGTAAGTCGCGTTGGATAAAAGCGTCTGCTAAATTATTAAATGTAAAGGTAAAATACTGTTAAACTATTTATTTCTTCATGAAATTTGGTGAATATTTTTCATTTTGGGTCATGAATGTGCATGCAAAGTTTCAACACATAGATGTGTTTTGGAAAGGCTGTACAAAATGTATTATAACTTTTATGTTGCGGTCAATTTGAGCTACTCTTGATATTCAAACTGCTCAAAATTCTGGTTAAACGATTTATTTCTTCTTGAAATTTGGTGAATATTTTTCATTTTGGGTCATGAATGTGCATGCAAAGTTTCAACACATTGATGTGTTTTGGAAAGGCTGTACAAAATTTATTACAACCTTTGTGTTGGGGTCAAATTGACCCCCATTGGTTTCAAAGCAATTAGCCAAAAATCAACACTTTAAAAAACACTAAAGAGTCCGATAAAAATAGAAAACCTTTATTGTAACATCAAACACTAAGAAATTAAATACATGAGAACATATTAAATTTAAGACTCAAAGTTGACTTGAAATCGAGACTCGTCTTCTGAATTATTCAAGGAAAATTCACTGTTTATTTATTGAGTTCAGTTTTAGTAAAAAAAAACAAAACAAATTCTGTCAAAGGTTGTTTTGGTTGTTAATTTTTTTGGATCTCAATTTCTAGACTGTTGCAACACTGAAAAGAAGTGTGAGAAACCCATTTTACCCTCAAAAGGGTTTGAGAAAAAGTCAACAAAAGGCAGAGGAAGTACAAATAGCAATAAATACTATTATTAAATATCTAAGTTGCTGTCTCATGACTTGTCAGGTTGAATATTCACATCATGGGTAAGACTCTCATGCATGAACTAGTAAATGTATATCAGAAATGCGAGTCACTTTCGATAAAAGTATCTGCTAAATGCATAAATGTAAGAGAAACAGTATGAGTAGCATGTTATTCTGAAGCAATTGTCTTTGTAATGCACAGCTTGTAGGAAGAGCATGGCATGTTGCACAAACTCTGAGCTGTGAACTACAGTCAGCGTCCTCCTCAGATCTACTGTCTCTCTGGCCCACAGACTTCTGGGAATGCACACGTCTTTCATCACAGCTGCCACAGGGAGCTCTGTAATGACAAGCAACCCTGTCGCCTTGCAAAAGATGGATGTTTTTCCATGAGGGTAAGAGCGGGCTTCCGGACGTGTTTTCATTGTGTGCCTGTAATGGAGCAAGGCTCGTGCTCTGGCCCGCGTGCTGTAATCTGTGTTTCTCTGACAGAAGAACCGGAGACGTGGCCTGTGGGAGGATGTTTTCTCGAGTTCACTGCTACTCGCTGATGATAACCGACTTCCACCACCCTTAATAAGCTGGAGAAATGTGTACGCTCATTATAATGAATATCTTAGGGTAGATGTACATTTCTGTCCATGCTGTCTTCTGATTTCAGCGTAATTAGCACCCAGTCGGTCTGATCTGAGAGCAGAGAGCAGGAGTCTGAAGAGAGCGGGTCATTATCAGAAGAATATCCTCAGGGTTCAGCTGGGGAAATCAGGCTTTGGTGAAGGGGATTTTCTTTTCTGTCTTACCACTGTGCTTCTCAAATGAAATAGTAGGTTTACAAAATGCCTCAAGTGTGAAAAACACCTTTTGAATTTTATGTGGTGAAAATATTTTCGCCATATTATTCTTGAATTCCCGTTTTCCAATCAGAGGATGCATAATTTCATCCAAACACTCACTGTAGTCAAAATATATTCATATATTCATTTGGCAATTCAAAATGCTGGTAACATTAGTTATCTACTTTAGTTAACATGAAGTAAGCAAGGCGAGCATTTGTGGTTAAAAAGTATATAAATGTTTATTTTCTTTAGAAAATGAGCGATGGTTTGGCTAGATAAGACTCTTATTCCTCGGCTGGGATGGTGTAGAGCTTTTTGAAGCTGCACTGAAACTGTGATCTGGACCTTCAGCCCGTTGGTTCCCATTGAAGTCCATTATATGGAGAAAAATCCTGGAATGTTTTCCTCAAAAACCTTCATTTCTTTTCGAATGAAGAAAGAAAGACATGAACATCTTGGATGACATGGGGGAGGGTAAATTATCAGGAAATTTTAATTTGAAAGTGAACTACTCCTTTAACTCTTGTCACAGGACAATGCCTTTCATTCCGTCTGAAATACGTTTTTAATCATTGGTCTATGTATACAATACAATAGAGCAAAGATACAAATTAAATAAACAGTGCTCTTCAGGTTTTCAGGAAGGCCTAACATTAGTTTTAGGTACAGAAATTGAATAAAGTAATCAAATGTAAAATAACACTGCATATTTTACTGTATAAATTAAAGATGAATCCTTATTAAATGTACAAAAGCCATTCAATCCAGAGCAGTGAGTTACACCCCTAGTAAATAGCTATAATTTATTCCTAATGCAAGGCTTATCTAATAGAATGTACTAGTGCAGGGTTTTTTCTTTTGCTTAGATTTAGTCGTTGCTAAAGCAGGTCTTTTTTTGGGTGAATGATCATCATTAATTTAAAGTGTTTTTGGACAAGCACTGAAAAGTAGCCTAGTCTTTGCACTTGTGAAGAAACGCAATCAGTTGGAGTGCTTGGAAATTGTTACGGCAGCCATAACAAGTCTGGACTTCCCATAGGTGTCCATTTAATAATGGGTCGTGTTGAAAGATGGGATCCAGTTTGAGTTGAAGCAATATATTCTGGGCAAGAGCGCACTAGTTGAAATAATGAGACCATAACAAAACACTGGAGAGAAAAGCCCTCGGGCGTCTCTCCAAACACTGGAGATGGTTTTCATGAGGCCTGTTCCGGGACATGAAAATTGCAATGTCGTCTTTTCAGGCGTGTGTTGAAGATCCCGCTTGGAATACTTGAACGGCAGAAAGTCCTTCTTGTGTTCACCTTTCCCAAGTCTTCAAACGCAGCGACGCGGAAGCTAGTCGTAACTCCTTCAGCGCGCAGCAGCTGCAAAGGCGTTAGGGTTGCTGCCAGGCTCGTCTCTGAGGACACGGCATTATGACAAGGTTCTCGAGTTTCACATGGCACAGATTCTCCATGGAGAAGCACCACTCCCGTGGGAGTCACCTGATGCAAACCCCTCTCTAAAGTGCTGGTTTATGTTCCAGAGAAAAGAGGCATCCGGGCCCTGCTTTACTCAGATGCCTGCGCTTCAGAAGCATAAATGTGCTAAAATACTTTAACAGTGGTTCTAGAGCCAGTACTGAATCTACAGCTCTACGGCTAAAGAAATGATGTTTTTGTGATATTTTAAGTGTGAATTGAATGTGATGAGAGAAAAAAGGCACTCTGAAATAATGCAAAGACCATGCATAACTCGTCTTTCTATTGTATTGTCTTTGCTGGCTGCACAAAACGCAAACATACAGTGATTCACAAATGAATGTCTCTCATGAACCGGTTCTTGTGAAACGTTTTCATGGGTCTTAAAGGAACCGTAATGGTTAAATTCCATCCTTACTCACAGCCTCCTCTGTTTCTTCTCTCTCTGCTCTTTTCCCTCAAGTTATTTCATCATGTTTTTATCAGCAGTTCAGGGCTGCGGTATAATGAGAGCTTTTCTCTTATTGCTGTCTCTGAAATCCCCAGTAAAATCAGTCATCCATCAGTCAACACACTGTACAAAACCTCCCATTAGCAACACAAAATATTTATGCTCTTACATGTTAATCCAGAGCTCGTATAATCTCATAATAACTATCTGAAGACTGAAGTTATGTGTTTCACACATATGCACTGCTTTCAAAAAGTGCTTTGCATGTTCTGGGAAGCCGGTTTAATCCTCGCTTCGGCAAGCCTCGTAGGACACTTTCACGGTTTTAGTGCACTTTGAGTCGGTTTGACCTCAGCTTGCTTGGTTAATGTAAATGCGATCTGGGGTCAGCCGTTTGTGACGCCTGTTCAAAAATGCATTGCATTATCTTGCATAATCGTGCAGTGAAATAATAATTTTTTATTTTTATTTAAATTGCATGTAGAAAAATGTCAATTTCTTTAACATTTAATTTGATATGCATCTTATTTTCCTTCGTAGGACACTTTCACGGTTTTAGTGCACTTTGAGTCGGTTTGACCTCAGCTTGCTTGGTTAATGTAAATGCGATCTGGGGTCAGCCGTTTGTGACGCCTGTTCAAAAATGCATTGCATTATCTTGCATAATCGTGCAGTGAAATAATCATTTTTTATTTTTATTTAAATTGCATGTAGAAAAATGTCAATTTCTTTAACATTTCATTTGATATGCATCTTATTTTCCTGAAACACGCAAAACAAATACACAGCACAGGCAGTATAGTCCGATTTGCAAACGATTGACTCTAATGAGACAGTTCTTTTTAATGAATCACTTAAAATTATTAATAAATGAATTTCAAGTATATTTCAGTATATTTGTCAAGAAAACACTTTCTCAGTTTAATTCAGTGTGTTACTTGCCATGTCTTTGTAATTGTTTGTGAAATTTACTAACAATTTCTGAATGAAAATTGTTCTAGACCGATTTTTTTTTAAGTGTACTTCTTTTGAATAATTACTTTGTGACCATTAAAAAAGTATGTTACATTAGTGATATATACGGTGCTTCATATTAAAGATACACTATTATTTGACACTTTCTCACAAATATTGAAGGTATTTAATGAACCATAATTGTTAAATTCCTTATGATTCCCATCTCTTCATTTCTAGTACTAGTATGCAAGTACTAATAGTATGATGCCAACATAACAAA